CCTGGCTAGAAAAAAGAGAGATGTACATAGTTACAGTACGTTCATGATTTCAACAAGGCTCTAAAAATACATTTTCCCATATGCACTGTGTCATAAAACATTTACAGTCCACCACAATCTGCTACACCGGCGTTGACGCAACAGTCTTGAAATATTCACAAGGTTGCTAGCTTGTTGGCTCAGAGAGAACACTGGAAAAGAGAGAGAGAGAGAAAAAAGAGAGAGAGAGACGATGCGCTTACATAATACGCCAGCCGCAGTCTGAGATGAGGGCGCAGGTTTAGACATGCGTATCAACAGCCAGTCTATCCTCACGCTGCAGTGCATGGTGACATTAGCGCTCTTCATCTCTGCCCCGCTGTCGATCTGTTTCCTCGCTGCAGTCTTATACAACCAGGACATTCTCACACATTCACATCAATATATTATAGAGTAGGATATAGAGGTCTTGTTCAGACAATGACTAAATGCACACTCGCATGTGGCTGCTGTTTGGTGACAGCAAGAAAAGAAAGGAAGAAATACTGCTTCATTTAGCTAACAAGACGGAATATCAATATATTTTAGACAAGGCATACATTCATATTTGCTTATGCGTGTTCCTGGTCTTATTATGAGTGACTAATCTGTGAACATTATTCCAAAAACAAAGAAAATTGTATGTAAATTGTAAGCGTATATATAATATTAAATAAAACAAACATATCTGTCATTATTTACTCACCATCATGTGGCTTCAAAGCTCTATGACTTTTCACACAAACACAAAAGAAGATATTTAGCACAATGTGCAAGCTGCTCTTTCTTATATAATGAAAGTCAATAGGGACCAAAGCTGCTCTTGGTCCAAAAGGAGAAGCTTGAACATTCTGCTAAATTACATCACCTTTTGTGCACTGTAAACATGAATATGCTTTATCTAATCAATAGAATTGTGGCAACAGATTACAAGCAATATTATTAAATAAATGTAACAAGTTAGAATTGAGTAATAATTAATCAAATTATTCCTTAAAAGTTAACCATTTAAAATGAGTAAAGTTTACACCAAAAAAATAAATAATATCTGAATAACAGACAGACGTCAAAGATTAATTATTTTATATTATCTTTATTTTATATTGTCAACATTGAAGACACCTGATGTTAACAAGCAAAATCCCGGAAGGAGAAAACCGTAATTTTAAAACAAACACCGATCACCATAATGGTGACTTCAATTTATGTTTTTTTGGTTTTGTTGTTGTGTTTGAAAGTATTGGGGATGACTTTTTTGAAAGTCTCTCATGCTGACCAGGGTTTAGATAAAATAGAAAACAGTTATTTTAAGTTGTAATACAATTTTATAATATTGCAGTTTTTACTGTATTTTTTTATATATTTGATTTCAATTAATCCAGTCTTCAGAACAATTCTTCTTAGTTTAGTAGTCTATAGTATAGTGTAGTATACTATAAGTAGTACAAACTGTATACTAGACTAAATGTGAAAAAAAAATCACTTGGTAACGTTGTCTGTGCAAAGTCGTATCCAATTTCAATTATTGAAAGTCAATGGATGCTGTAACCTGATATATGCAAGGATACAAAAGATTGACTTTTTACATCCACGCACAGAAATGACGTTCCAGAAACCACTAGAACAGCAGTTCCCCTGCTAAAAGGAAAATGTAGACAACTCCAAAGCTAAAATAAACACATTTTAATTGTGTAATAAATGCTTTAAAAAATGTGCTGCACCAGTTTGCTTTTAAAGCCTCTGAATTGGCTCTGCTTAAATGTATATTAATGAAAACAAATTTCCTGTTGTCTAAACTGAGTGCCTAAGTAATTTTCTATGCTAATTAATCACATGCAGTACTATTAATAGTTTAATTTGTGTTGAACCAGGGCCATTCCTTTAATAAAGAGATTTCCATGGACACTAATATTGCAGAGACTGCTGCAATGCGTTCCACAGCAACATTTTTACTAGATAAATATGCATATATAGTTTAATTTAGAACATTTCACTTAAGTTAGCTTACTTGAAGAATAAAATAAACAAAATAAAAAAAAAATATTTCCCATAGGCTCACTTCACTTCCCACTCTTTGCTCGCCTCTCATGTAAATGGATGGACGCCTTTTTCATTAATAATGTAGCTTATGTCTTCACTATGAGCAATGATTACTCGGGTGGGGGTTGCACAGATCTTCTGGCCTGCTTCTAGAATTTTTTGAAGGCCTAGTATGAATATTAAAGAGCAGTGTGATTTGAAACACGCTCATTGCTCATAACGCCTCGCCGACCGTGACAGTCATCATGGCCCAAAGGTCAGAAGGAAATCAGAATTGTGACTGTCTTCTGGGACGTGCAGCAACACTGCAAACCACATTAGCACCACCCAACAGCATTTAAATGGAAATTCACCCACTCCTTTATCTCAGCCAACTGAGCTTGTCTGCTCTTTGAAGAAGAAACCTTCAGAGGGCTGGAAAATAAGGCTGGAGCTGTATTGTCTGCTGCCTATCAGTTGTTTGCTGTCCAGCCGTGTTTGTTTACCGCATTTTAAAGTGAATTTGGCTATCTAGTCTGGTCTGCATTGCGATCTGGGGGTACAGGGGGGCTTTAATGCTGTACATGAAATGTTCTCTGTCATATCGATTATCTGTTCTCATTCAAATAAACCATTTTAGTCTTTGAGGGAGAGCAGTATGCAGAATGGCTTTTTAATCGTTATGTTTATCGTGAACGCATGGAGACATGGTCTTAAAAGAATTGTTAGTGTTGGGCAAGCTATTTAAAGAGTTAGGTAAGATGCACATTTCTTAAGAGAACAAAATTAGTTCATCTAAATAGCACCCTTCAGATAAAGTAAGCAGTTGAACTACATGCTACATGGAAAAAGAAACTGAATACAGGCATGAAATATAAGCTGTGATAGTCTTTTCTTCTCTATTGTGACATATATCTGAGGAAACTCGAACTTGGAAATGTACGGTGGGGCTTGATTTTGTCTGGCTCACGTGTTTTGTTTGGGTGAGAAATGTTTTCGGACCTCATGACCTGCCCGTACGCACTTAACTTATCAGTGTCCTTGTGCCCAAGGCAGAGCAGACAGGGGACTAGACCTGTCCTTACTTCCGGTAGAGACTGTTCCTGGATCTTGCAACCCAACTGTATTTCATTTAACCTGGGACATGAGCTAATTTTATTTTCTAACTAGATTTACATTTTTCTGAAGGAAGTGTGAGTGGTGCTGAGTGGTGCTACATGTAAACATGCAACCGTGTTTCTGGGCACCCCCAGCCCTCCTCCACCAAGTCTCTGTTAGTTGATGATTTGTGTGTCTCAAATGTATGTTAAAGTATTTTTATTATTTAACCGTGTAATTAACACCTATACATGAAATGATTGCAGATTAAAGGCATGAGCCTTTTTCTAAGCCTTTCATAAACATGTTAGGGTCATACACTGTTAAAAGAAATCTATTTAAATGTGATTTATCACATTTTTTGTTAGTCAAATCAAGATATTTTATATGGTTCAGATAACATAATGTTATGTTTCTGTTGATTAAACCAATCTCCTCCATGGTATAAAATTTTTAATTTCCATTAACTCAAAATTTAAAAGGCAGCTTGGTTACTCACTTTTTAAATTTAACCAAAAAGGTTTTTTTAGGCTATTTTTGGAAGCTTGTTTCCGCCACAGACAAAAAAAAAAGTACATTGTTACTTTTTATCTTACAATTTGACTTTTTTTCCACACTTGGAAGGATATACCTATTGCAATTCAGACTTTTTTTTCCACTCGTAATTCCAAGTGGTCAAAAATATAATTTTTTTCTATTTTTAAAATGATATTTTGTCATTCTCTTTTTTACATTTTTACACCGTTTATGATCGTGTGTGTATATATATATATATATATATATATATATAAATAGATATATATATAGAGAGAGTGATATACACACTATACAGTATAATATAAAATATAGTTGCAGTCCTAATTTCTGATTGGTCGACACAGCAGCCAGTCTGTGGTGTAAAAAAAATATTTTCATGATTAGTAATCACAAGATTTTTTTCTTTTGTCAAATCAACTTAAATAATTTATTTAGTTCAGATAACATATAATTTTGAGTTTCTGATGATTAAATCATTCTCCTTCATTGTATTAACTCACTTTTTCCAGTTCAATGAACTTAAAACTTTAAGACAACCAGGTTACTTACTTTTTTAAGTTAAACCAACAATATTTTTTTAAAGTGTGTGGAATATTGAGCTATACTTAGCAATATATTTATACTTATACTTTCACACAGTTGCCATGGGTTGTTTTTTTAGTTCGCAGGTTGACGCGACCTCAGTGGATGAAAAATTTTAAACACCAGAACGCGTTTTGTACACAACTGGGCTAGTTTTGGCCCTGATTGGCCGAGTTTTGAATCACAATTGGGTTGGTTGTATTAAAACTCAGAAAATAGTAACAGTTGGTAGACATATCACTGTGCAGAAGCCATTGCAGATCATTATTTTTGTTGCATAGCAATGAGCTGTTACCTCAGGGGTTTTAAACATAAACAAATATGAACAGTTGTTATATCGTAATATTATTACTGTGACAACAAGTGAGAGATATTAATGTACATATGGTCTCAATGAGGTGAAATGTGGACTGCATTGAAGGGTTTGGTGAGAAGCTGGTGTTATCATTCACCGTCATGGGTGATTTGATATCCTCGAACCCACTGCGCAGAACGAAACCGCATGTCCCTAACCTCAGTGACCGCAGAGATCCTAGAGAGCAAGGAAGACAAACACAAAATTGTTCCAGGGTGGAATCAGCCTACAGCCTTTATTGCACATTCCTGTTTGGTTTTGCTCTGACCACATCCTGGCATGATGTTTATGCAGTGCAGAAAACACATTGTCTTGTAGTTTTACCTTTCACCCTGTGAAAGCCTGAGATCACTACATATACCAGACTCCTTTCAATTCAGGTACACATATATTATATTTTTTCATTTATTTTTCTTTCTCTTTTTATCATCAGTGACAATGCCTGCAACATGCTTCAAAATCTTCATTTTGGCAAACTACAAATAAATTAAAACACATTCACAGAACACAATTTGACATTTAAGGACATTAATAAAGAAAATTAGGACAAACCGAACCAACGGAGGGAAAAGAAATACAAAGAAGCGGCTTCTGCTCTTTTTCATTACTTTCTTGCTTTTTTAAAAAAAAAAAAAAAAGAAAGAAAAAGAAAACAAGTTAGCTAGCTAACAATCACAGACCACATGCAGATATAATACAACAGAATCATCTCACTCATTTGGACGATTAACTCTGTTAGTTAGTTTCTGCAAACTACTGATCTAAACTATATCACAAAATTATGCTTTAAACCGGAAAACATCCAATTTCGCGATATTTTTGACTGGTTATAATAAGTCCTTGGTATAGTATCTCCTCTCGCTAAATAGGAAAACACACGACCACTTCTCAATAATGTCCAAACAGTGTCTGGAGAAGACCAAATGCACTTCAGTAATGATAAGAGATACCATCTGCGACTAGACAGAAATCTGCAATAAGCCAACCACGAGGGTTTACGCATTTTTTTACAATCACTGCAGTGATACGAACATGAATTACAGCTTGTCCAGTAACCAGCGTGTTTTTTTTTTGTTTATTTCGACGACCAGGATAAAATGATCATCGTATACAGCAAAGTGTAGTGCTTTCCACCGGATTGAAGCACTACACGTTAGAGAACCTTAATATCAATAACACAAAAAGCTACTAGACAGAAATAAATATATCAGTAACGGATCAACAGTGTTGTTTCGCCGCCTCCCTCCTTCAGGGCATCAGCATTTGCTATTTTATCATTTATACATCAGCGTCTTCGTCCTCGTTTTAAATTAATTAGCAGCTTCTCGTCTAACATTTGAAATCGTCAGTAATAGCACACAGTCTTTCTACTGAGAGCGCAGCAGTTACACACAGGAAAACACACAAGGAAATGGTGACAAAGTACATGAAGCATTTGGCACATAATGTCAGGAGAAGACTACCTTCAAAATATCATATGAAACAGCATCTCATAACAATGTCTTGAGGGTGGACTTTTTCAAACCTTTATTTTCACCCAAAAATGACAGTTCCTTCATCATTTACACACCCTAATGTCATTCCAAACCAGTATGACTGACATCCGACATTCTTCTGTAGGTGGTGGTTCTCCATGTTTTGGGCTGTCAAGCTCCAAAAAAAGACAAACATAAATCACCATAAAGTATAATAGTGTTGGTCAACAGTTGCGAATGCTATATTTTAGTCTTCTGAAGACTAGTAACTTTGGGTGGCCAACAAAATCCCAATAGAAGTGGGATCTTGTATAATGTTCATCTCCTCATACGCCTCATTTCCACATATTCAAATTTCAAAATCAGGATTTATCATGTCAGTGACATCAAATTTGACTCGTGGAGTTTAAATGTGCCAATATTTGAATGGAAACGGGCAGTGAAGCGCAATACTTTCTTAGTTCTTAACCAAGGCCTTTGCTCTCATAAACGTATTGTATGGCTTCGAAAGACTATTTTCGAGATCGACAATTTAATGGAAAAGAGCAGCCAGTACCCACTTCAGTATTTTTCCTTTAGTGTTTCACTGAAGAAAGAATATAAGGCGAGAAAATGACAGAATCTTCATATGTCAACAACACCCATGATGTGTCATTTGTATTTCACATACCGTATGAAGAGCACAATGGGTGGGGTGGGGTCTTAAATAAACACTCATCTCATCGCTCACAAGTTGCGGTCTGAGCCGTTCTGGATTCACGCTGACATTTGAAGGAGAAGTCAATAAACATCAAGGTGTCGAGCTTCAGCTCTCTCGGTGCATCAATGAGCCGTCCTCATTCCTCAAGGTTTCTGAACAAAGTCGTCGCCCCCTCAGCGTCTCTCTCCCTCTCCACCTCTGTCCTTCTTCATTTGACTCTTGTCAACAGCTTAAAACCAGTCCAAGTTTTAAGTCATAACTGAGATGTGCGTTTATTTACGTAGTTCGAGAGCGATGTTTACAGTCATGAGAACTTATATCCAGGGCTGTCGGCCATTTTGTCTTGTTTGCTGTTGTTCTAGTCTAGTATTGATCAAGCACACAGCACAGTGATGCAGAGTCAGTGAAAGGCGGATGAATCAGGGCCCACAACCACGAACGTATCAATCGATGAGCCAAAATAGTACGAGCGAATCAGCACAATTAATGTTTGATCGTGTTTGGGGCATCGGCATGTGAAGGTGCCAAGTTACCGTAATTCACCATGTTGTCTCAGTCGGCATTGTCCTGTCCCTCAGAGCTCCATGGGGACAGATGCCACGATGAACACTCAACATCTCACCATGTCTGTCACATGCCTCTCTCTGTCGCCAATACTAAGATCCCATTGGGACGTCGACATTCGTTAATGCCATCTGGTATCTAAATCATCAGAATTAAGAGCTTTTGGTCTTCTCCAAAAACAAATAATAGAATGACCAATAGAGGTGGTTCACATATATTTTCTTTGACCTCTGCATAAGCAATGAAGACTTGACTTGACTGATTTTTCAAATCCGATCTGTAGGACGGGCAGTCCTGTTGTTTTCTAAGTAATGAAATCTGGTGTTTGTTCAGATTATGTTGGTTGCCATTGTATTGATGTAAGCATTAGCATGAAGCCAGACTTTCTCATTGTATTTGAACACATATGGGTTTGTAAACTGGATTTTCATCTCTTTTTTTTTTCTGGTCAGACTTCAAAAAGCAATTGAATTTGAAAAATCAGATATTTGCTGCCTGTCTGAACAAAGACCTAGAGTATTTTTTCCCCATTGGAAATCAATGACCAGCTACGCAACACAGTGATGTCTACATTTTGCCACGCGTACAGAGGAAAAGAAAGAGCACAGCTCTACATAAATTACAATCATCATGTTGCATCCAACTGTGAAAAACAGCACAGCCGATGAGGAGGAAACCAGAAAAACCGAACCTCATGTAGTGTAATGATCTGCTTATCTATTAAGTGTTAAAGTCATTTGCATGTAAAAGGGGGCAAGTCTGATGCTGTTCAGTGCAATGCATTGTCAGCTATAAAAGGAAAGAGGGATTGGAATGGATGGCGAAGAAAATAAGCAAAACGGACGGATAAACGAGGATATAGAGTGAGGGTGTGGGATTGGTGCACATTTAACTTTGTTTGGAGCCTCAATAATATCCAGAGTCCATAGCTGTATGTAGCTGCAGTGACGCCCACTCATGAGTAATTGTGATGTCGCAGCGAGTGTCAGATCCATGGCACCTCGATGAAGACGAGTGAAGGACGGGGTGATGGTGAATGTGCCACGTTGTTGTGTAAGATATGATGCGCTAGTTAAGTTTGATGATGAAAAAGAAGAAAACCCAACTGAAATAAGCCATCGAAGATGCTGACATCAGCCGTCGGACACGGGAGGGGACACCCAGCCGTACTTCTCGTGGGTCTTGACGAGGCTCTTGAAGGTCGCCTCAGCTTCCTTGCGACTAAAGGCCTTCTTAGACTTGCCCGCTTTCCTGCAGATACGACCCTGAAGAGAAAACCACATTTGGAGAAATCAAGATTTGAATCTGTCAAAATGACATTTTTAAAATGTCTTCAAAAGGAACACTGGAAATGGAATTGTTGGATGAGGTGTTCAAAACAATATTCGAATCATAAAATAAAAAGAATATTGCATACATTTGAGCATACAAATTGCCAAATATGTTATAAATATATTATAAATTATGTAAATATGAACACGAAATACACAAATTGTATCTAAACTTTATAGAACATTTTTGGATAGTTGGATATGAATATTGTTAAAAATGAATACTTCACAGTCATATCAGTGTATAACTGCTGAATATATAACAAATATATTATGAATATATATATATGTATAAATAAAAAATATATATAAATTTTAACATGTAAAAGAAATTGTATCTAAACTTCTGAGATCAATTTTGCGGTGAATATTATGTTATTAGAGAATATTATTTAATTAGTACATTTTTGAAGCACTTTTGATATTGAGATTTTTTGAGGACACCTGAATAATCTGCTTTGGTCTTGGAATTCTCTCATTATTATTTTATAGTTTAACAGGCAAGTCAGACGTTTATGATTCCTGGATATGCACTATAAAGTCAGATTTTTCAATTTTGTTCAAACTAAATAACTCTCAGCTATTACACATCTAACTGCAACAGAGAGACACACTATACGTAATCTTAGATGTATTATATTGGAAGCAGAAAAGCATCATTCTTCAACATGACCAATGATCTTAACGAATTGTGATATTTCCTGTCAAATATAATTTATGTCCAACAATTTACAGGTAAAGTGTAATTTAATTGTTACATTGGTTTCTTGCCAGTTTAATATAAAAACAACTATACGTAAGACATCCAACACTGTGGTCTTTCCGAATGTTAAGCAGGTCAGCATGTCATGTCAACTTGTAATTTTACCAATGCTATGTTTTGAGCTGAATTAGCTATTTGCAATTGCACTATCCCATGTGCAAATAAAACTAATTTAACCCTATAAATTATAAACATTTATATGATTGTACTTAAGTGAATCCTTTAGTCCCAGAAAAGCCATCTGAGGTTTGCTATAAAGAATCAAAGATGGTTAAATCCGTATTCTGCCAAATTTAAGTTGAGGTAAAGGTGTGTGTAGTCTGATGGCAGATTTATTTACCTGTTTATTCATATATTGTGTAACTGACATGCAGAAGCAGATGTGCGGATGACTATGGTGTGATTAAATGGTCCTGGTGCTCCATTTTCAGATGTTTTCCCAATTTTCAATTTCAAAGCCGACTGCTCTGAGCTTTGAAGACACAGTAAATCAAGAGGCTGTGCGTGATAAAACCTCAGGCTGAATTATTTAAACAAGCTTCATCTAGACCATTTTAACACCAGGTTCAGCCATTTTGATCACTGGTAAAGGATAATGTGAATAGAAATGATGCAATGGTACATCTATGATTGTGGCATCCCACAGTCAAACATCTAGCTATCATAGTGTGACATTTCTCCCTGAAGTGATGATTTCAAAGTTAATGCTACAAGGCAAAGAAATGGGATACCCCTTTCTTTTGTCTTACAGACAGACAGACAGACAGACAGACAGACAGATAGATAGACGGATAGATAGATAGATGGATGGATAGATAGATAGATAGATAGATAGATAGATAGATAGATAGATAGATAGATAGATAGATATGGATGGATGGATGGATGGATGGATGGATGGATGGATGGATGGATGGATGGATGGATGGATGGATGGATGGATGGATGGATGGATGGATGGATGGATGGATGGATGGATGGATAGATGGATAGATAGATAAGATAGATGGATGGATGGATGGATGGATAAGATAGATGGATGGATGGATAAGATAGATAGATAGATAGATCTACAAAATTCCTTTCCACAAAATTGAACGTCTAAGCTGCTCTAAAATCATTTTTTTTTTTCATAGAAATCAATGACCAAATAAATACATTTTGGGGTAAATTACTCCTTTAAGACCAGTCGAAGGATTAGGTTTGGCATGCAAACCACAACCATCCAAATATGCCACTACAGACTATGTATGAGAACTCACAGACCCAGCATCCACTAAATGAGCAAAAAGGATGTGCTTTCAGATGCCCCAGGACGGAGGTCAGTCTAGTGCCAATGCTGATGTAAGACAGCAGGGACAGTGAGACAGAAATAGCCAGCTCTTCCCTCAGGCTCTATCAGTCAGGATGAGATCTAATGGCCCAGAAGTAACCGCCTGTGCTCAATCGAGAAAAGCCAGCCCTATCCTCTCAGAAAAGCCTGTGATTTTTGGATTAAAAGGAGCCAATGGAGCCTTAATTAAGCTTTATTGTGTTTACGGTCTCTCTTAGAAATCACTTCTCTCACGCTTGAAAGGCAACGGTGGAAAGCGCTAGGGACGAAAGCGAGAATGCGTGGGGAGTCGTGCCAATGTTAATCCAGGTTATTTGCATCAGCGTTTTCCCCGCAGCATGCTAAGGGCATCACTGACGTCTCCCTATGCTATTTTGGTTTGGTGTGTTATAGAGTGCAATGCAGTGCCCGACCCGTGTGAAGTGCCGGATGGGTAATCCTGTGAATGGAGATCAGTCAATAGTCTCGCTCGGCCTCTGTGCATTCTGGGACAACACAGACGGTAGGGATTATGTCACCGACATGTGCCAGATAAGAGTAAACAGTGATGCTTTGCATCATAGCATCACATGAAGGGTACACCTGTTTGATGCTGCTTACAGCCTCATGTCAAAAGGAAAGTTGTCTGTAAATTTACCAACGCAAAGCAGGAATAATGTTGTTGATCTCTTAAAGTAAGGAAGAATATAGTCTTGATTAGAGACACATGACATATAGACTATTAGTCAATGCATGTTATGGTCTTAAGCATTACAGTAAGTGTAAAATCACATGCATTTGATCAAATTATTAATCTAAATGTTAGAATGGACATTAATATAAAGTGGGATTCTGATTTAGAAAAGCCTTAAAAACTGCAAATCTCTGAGCTTTGGTATGCAGAAATATCTTCCAAAACCAAAGACGACGTACTAAAAAAATGTAACATTTAGTTTTTGCAGATGCTTTTATCCAAAGCGACATTGCATTTCAAGTTCAACATTTACATTCTTATCAATTCTTGCTTTCCCTGGGAATCAAACATGACCTTGGTATTGCAAGAGCCTACATCGTTAACGCTTAAGATAACAAGACTTAACATTAAAATGATTGTCAAAGCACATTAGGTAAAAGTGAATGAAGCGAATTAATGCACGATTCAGTAAAGCTGGAAGAAATTATTAAATTGAATTCCAAATTATTAATTCCAACGACGATAAACCCACGAATGCTCTGCAGCAAAAGGCAAAATGTTGCCTGTCCTTTCCTTTTAGAATACAATAGCTGCATATTAATTGGGGGTCTGTTGTGTGTCAGTGGCAGCTAAAACTGTAATTACCCTTGGGTGCTTTGGGTCATTTGGGGAAAATTGTTATCTAGTCACCGTTGCCTCAGACTCATCATGAATTTGGCATTATAGAGCTCTTGACAGGTTGAGGTAAGGGTAGATGAACCAGTCTTTCCTCTTAGATTTACAGCAGAGGGTTAATGGCTAGTCTCTAGCTTCATTATGGATTCTCATCCAGTTCCATCACCCACGCTGGTCTTTACAATCATCCTTATAAGAGGAATATCTAATGATGATGTGATCCATCTATGGACCCACCTAATCACATTACTACTTAAGATCCAGGCTGCAGAACACTCTTGAGAAAAATGGTCCGAAATAGCACCGGATTATAATTCTTGTTGTTGCAACCACAGCAAAATGGAGATAATGTATGTATACACTGACTGAAGATTTATTTATTTTTAATATGCAGGTGTAGGGGAGGTGTAGCATTTGCAATGTAGTAGGAAATACCCTATAAAACAGAAGAGCAATCGATGGAGACAAAACCCACACTTTATACTCTTTAAAAATAAAAGGTGTCTATGGTGTCTGATGACAAAAGAGACTCTTTTTAAGTTACTATAGTGCAATGTGATAACCTTGTAATGGTACTTCAGTGAATCACATATGTCCTAGCACTTCAATAAATCCAAGAAGTCATCGCTTTGCTCTATTAATGGACGAACCAATACAGAAGAACCACCAATGGAACATCACGAACTTTAATAATCCCCACAGACCCATACAGCCAAATTAAGCACCCTATATAGAGGGCCAAAGCGGTTCTTGATAACAATGGTTCTATGCTGAAGATAGAAATGACAATTCAGTCTCATCTTGTCCAAACTCGTGTGACGTGGAATATAAAAACAGCCTCAGTCACCATTTACTTATATATTCACTCTTAAAAATAAAGGATCCAAATGGTTTTCACAGGAAGAACCTTTTATTAATTGAATAACATGAATGAAGAACATACAATTGAAAGATTGTATGTTCTTCATGCAATCATGGTTCGTTCAGAACCATTGACGCCATAAAGAACTGATGTATGGAAAAAGATGCATGTCTTGTGTAGAAATAAAACCATACCGGGCGGTCTGGAATGACATGAAGGCATGTTATATTCTGTTTTACTTTGTAGTTGCATATGTAACAGAGTGAATGGACGTTGCATGTTTTTTTTCACCTGTGCGCCGATGCCAAAATGGAGGATGGCGTCAAGAAACATGAGATGAGAAGAAATCAACGCTGCTACGGCAATAACACATCCTCACCTGTCCTTTCACCAGACTGGCAGCGAACTGCCTCATCACGGCCTCGACGGTGTATGCGCTCGACCAGCCGCGAGGCGTTAATAACTCCATGCAGATCGCGCCGCCGTCCAGCACGTATCCGTTCTCCAGCCGCGGCGTGAGGACGCGCATGAACGGCGGAGAGAAAGGGAAATTGTCGGGGAAGGTGACATTCAGCAGTATGTACTCGGTGTTGGTCTCCTTCATGTCTTGCCACAGCGCGGAGTCCTTGTCCACCTGGTGCAGCTTGACATTCCAGTCAAAGAGGTTATCGTCCGCCAGCTCCACCGTGATGAAGTTGTCGCCGAGCCGCCGGATCTCCTGCAACTCCTTCATCAGCCTCCGCGTCCGCACCTGGGTGCAGTGCTGTCGGTTCGCCGCCGGCGGAGGCATCACGGAGCCGCTCGTCGCCTTACTGCCAGCCGTTAGCTGCTTCTCTTTCGTGTCCTTGCTCGGTTTGTCCTGTTTGACGGCTGGCTTGTCCTTGCCGGACACGTCGAAGCGCCTGGCTTTGATTTCGGGCGTGCTGAGGATGTTGTTGGTCTCGTTGCTGGTGTTGCAGTGCTTCGTGTTGTTGTTTTTCTGGTTGCCTTTGGTCCCTTTCAATGAGCCCTGGTGGTGATGCTTCGGGTCCTCCGTGTCTCGGTCGTGCAGTCGAATGAGCCCGATTTTTCTCAAAAGAGTAGCCATTGTGATGGTTCGTCGTTCGTGTAATGGAGCTCGGAAAAAAGACGCCCGCAAAGCAGCTCGTCCTCAATGCATCACTTCTCCCCGCGAGTGCACTGAAACACAAGATTTAATACGCATTCCTACTCCTAAAATTCCCTGTGAGGCTGCACACCCGCGGCTGCTGCAAGAGGCGCGATAACGTTGCTAGAAAATGAACCGATAATCTGGCGCACACATACAAGAATTAGAATAGCGGGAGCGGAGCACCTCGGGTCGGTTGGCTTCCGCTGTACCTGGACGGAATGAGTAATCAAGGGTCCTGCACGAGTACGAGTTATGTTTTTTCTTAACACTAGTATTCCGACCGACAAGTCCCGCCCTTGACCCGATCACTGTTTGCTGGAGTTGCAACAACTATGTGATTGACTTCTAAACTGTCCAATCACAGACTGGCAGTAGCTCATTCTAGCCAATCCTGCCTTTGGACGCTGGACTTGTCTGGATGCTGGTGGATAAATAACGCGTTTATATTATTAACGCTTGTATTGTTAGTAAATTTTTTCTGTTATAAGACAATTCATATTCGGCTATTCTGCATTTGTTTATTATTTATTATTGGTGTTTTTGTGTTTTGGTTTTACGTACAATTTAAATATAAAATTAATCTCTTCTTCTTTTTTTTTTTTTTTTTTTTTTTAATGATTCCTGCTTTATGTTATGTGTGTTGTTGGGTACAAATAAACAATATTTAGTGTCATTGTACAGCCTCGTGTATTTGTTTGTTTTCTCCCTGGCGTTTTCTACAATCACTGTATTATATGAGATGCTATCAGCATTAAAACAAATCTAAATAAATAATGCATCTTTGTCCTAATGTTTGGTTTGGGAAGAGGTCGAGTTTATGATTAATCAGCTTCAAATGAATCAATACACGCTCCACTTAAACCTCACATTGAAAAGGTAAGTGCACCACTTAGCATTAATCTTTTGTGTTTGTCATCAACCAATACATTATTTGTCATCCATGTAACATATTGAATCATATTTAGCGTGATACAGTCAAACTGGTCAATGAAATGGTTTCAGAGTAAATCCAAAATATTATTTTGTGGAACATTTTTTCCAACAATGATTTTGCAGCAATTCGAAACGCTTTACAGCACAACGAAGGATTCTGTTACCAGGGTTACAGTCCATTCTCTCTCGCTATTGGATGAAACGCAGCCGGAAAGCAGTGCGCTGTCATGGAAGCTGCGTTGCTTGAACTGATGTTCGTCTTTTGTCAATAAATGTATAGTTTTAGCTTGATAAAATTAACCTTTATTTAAAAATACAGCACGTTATGGCCGAAAAGTTCGATAATCTCGAGGAACACCTCGAGAAATTCGTCGAAAACATACGACAGCTGGGAATTATTGTCAGCGATTTTCAGCCCAGCAGTCAAACAGGACTCAATCAGAAACTGTGAGTTGTAACGTTAATCTGTTTGTTTGAACACGAATCCAACACAATATGTTGGTTTAAACAAATAGTAAGTTAAGTAATAGCGATGTTTTTAGCAGTAGACTTCCTTGGCTCAATATCTGGAATATTGTCCCATTCAGTCACGACTCACGAGTAAAGCCTGCAAGTTAACGTTAAACGATTAGGTTATTTATTTCCTCAGGAATTTTATGATCACAGGACTGCAGGACATTGAGAAATGCCGACAACAGCTTCATGATATCAACGTACCGTTGGAAGTGTTTGAGTGAGTATTACATTTCATAATGGAGAGACATTGAGAATATGTTTCTTGAATCCTCTTGTAATTTAATTTTAAAAATACCCTTCTTTTACACCCATTCCTTCTATGTACCAATTTAATGAACTGACCTGCTATATTTAAAAAAGATGAGATATCACATCTGCATATAAACATGAATTGCTATGATTGGATATTGATGTTTTGAATTGTGCCCACAGGTATATTGACCAGGGTCGTAACCCTCAACTCTACACTAAGGAGTGCTTAGAAAGAGCTTTGGCTAAAAATGAGCAGGTCAAAGGAAAGATTGACACCTTGACAGTGAGTATTGGTTCAGTATTAACACAATGAATGACTCATTTGGGAGTGCCAGCAGGCTATTTGTTATATAAGGACTATTTTAGTATTTTATAATAATGCTACCACTCTGTGCTTATAGTTATTGTAATTAGAGTAATTCTTGGTCTATAAATATGTAAATATATAAATATAATATATGTCCTTGTATATATATATATATATATATATATTGCTAGAGTCTACAGTTTTTTGCTTTATACATTTCTGCTGTAAACAGACAATTTCCTGATATGTTTTAAATAATGTAAATAAAGGCACAAATCTCTCCCTCTTACAATATTTTGTGGTTTCTTTTATTCTCTCCAGAAATTTAAAAGCCTCCTCATTTCGGAGCTGGGAAAGGTTTTTCCTGAAGAGATGGCTAAATATAAGGCCATTCATGGAGATGACCCTCCTTCATGATTTACCAGTGCCACAACACTTCAAACGCAAGATGTACATATGTTGATATTAATATAACATGTTTTTTAAGGTTCAACTCATCAGTCAAATATGCAAATTTTTACAGCTTTTTCATCTTTGTATTTGCCTTTGTAATTCACAAGAATACAATTTGAAAACGGAGGGATATTTTGAGAAAAGCTTCTTTTTTCATGCATTGTAATTTTCGCAGCATCATTTTTTTATTTTTCAGTTGAATAAATGATTATTTTGTGTGATCACAACAACTAGTCTTTCTGTTATATCCACCATGTTGTTTTTGATCTGAATTTATAAACGTTTCAGCAAGCTATCATATAACCGTCATCGGGTGTTTATTCGGTTTCATTGGCTCTAGTGGCTCAAGTTACTTTCTGGCATGCCCTTTTTCACCATGCATGTAATCTCACACTACTTGTCTGGTGCCGTGGTGATGGAATTGATTTGTACGTGTCCTCCTATAACCACATGACATTATTTATGAGCCATGAATGGGAGCTTACAGTGGGACTTTACCCTAGATGACAATTTAAGGACCGTCTTTCATGTATCGACAAATTCGAGGCGTTCTTTATGAATATCTCTTCTGAACATTGAAAGATAGGTCATTAGAAGGGGAAAGCTTTGTACTGGTGCAACAAAGACTGGAGTTTTAAACATGTGTTTGAAGTACCTTTGGTCCAATCGGTGGTGGTTTTGTCACTCCTTTGTAAGGCTTTAAGTCTTTCAAGACTGTACAAACTCAGAACATCTGCTGTACGATTAGTCACTCCCCTTCACAAAAGGACTCCCCTAAGACTTTTAGCCAATGTTTGGATTGGAATATAGTACATTGCACACTGAATAGTATGCTCTGCCTATTTAAAAAAGGAACATATGGGAAATGTATAATGCAATGACAAACAGTATGAAATACAACAAGAATGTAGCAGGCAGGTGCGTGATGTCATTATGTTTATACATTTTCAAAATTTAAACGGCTCGAACTGTCAAAAAATGTGTTCATATTACCATGCCAATAATATGTCCAGTCTATTTACAGGAAATATATGCAAAGTTATTTTAGAGATGGATAAACATTATTGATCGACAAGGGGGAGAATGTATGTGGAACAAGGTCATCATGCTTTTTCATTTTCTGAGCTGCCCTCTTTCTTAGAGTTCATCTTTTGTAAACACTCTAACACAAAACCTGTAGTGGGAGGACATACGTAGTAGTGTTGCACAAAAAACCCCATCTAAGCATGTCTTTGAGAGGTGGTGTGCATGGGCAACCTGGAGGCTTTGTTCAGAGACTTAACATTGTGGGTGAAATCATGAGATGAATCATGTTTTTATCTGTACTATGACCTTCATTTCAACAAACACCTCTTCAACGTCTTCTAATTGAACACTAGTGATTCAATATCCGCAAGAAGTTAACAATATATCGTTAATTAAGCAGTTTTGACTTGTGATCATTCTAAAACATCTAAATCATTCTAGCTGTCTCGTTCTATTGGCCTAAATAGCGTTCTGTACAAAATTTAATACTATGACTTACTGCTACGATATCATTAATATTTGTTTTAATTTGTTCTTTATCCGGTAGAGAAACCGTTCTGAGAATTACAGGTGTGTCCTTGCCAAGTGAGGCAGCAAAATGACATATATACAAAACAATTTATAATCAAACAACTTCTTTGACAACAATACTACAAACATTCAGTTCAATGACTTGTCCTTGTCCTCACTGAATAATGGATTTAAAATGTTTCAGCAACAAATGAACTGCAGGACAGAATTTGTCCTCTGTGCAGGCACCTGGGGAGCGATTGGGGGTTAGGTGACTTGCTCATCGAACCCTTAACCTTCAGGTTTCCAATCTGACTTCCAGTCTAACCACTAGACCACGACTATTAGAGACTTAACCCGCAGCAAATATGTTCCTTTGACCCTCATTTTGCATGACGCCAGCACAAGCGGCAACCCCTTCGCTACCTTTGATAATATTATCTAATGGATTTGCAATGCTAATGAAAGATGCTGCAGACCGACTGTGATTGCAGTTGTGCTTGCAATCCTGAAGAACTCTGGACAGTTTGATCATCTTTTCCTTCTGATTAAACACTTTCCACATGAAGGAGAGCATTGGCTCTATTCAAGGACAATCACCCCCTTCTGTGAAGGTCATGAGGAAGTCAAACCCCTCAGCCTTCTGTTGCAGTCGTCACCATAGCAACTTACCCCGCCTGCCACTGACGAAGACAAAAGCCACCGTATGAGGGGACGAGAAAGGAGGCGCATGTGTCGGAAAAGGAACTGATGCATATTCAGCAGACACACACACATATGTTCTGAGCAAACTGCACATCCCATGTGTGTTTGAGTTTGTCATTTATTTTTTGCCCTTTAGGGTCAAAGGTTGCAATAGCTCTGAATTAGCTGAAATGGATCAGGTTTTAGCGTGCAAGTGCGGACGTGCATGTTAATATCAAAGCAGTGAACATCTCAAACCTTAAATTTAACATCACTTGACTCACTTCATACGTAAATTCGTAGGGTGGAAGTTTCCTTGGTGGGTGTTCAGCTTTTATGGTCAGTGCGTACGACTTTCCCGTGCCAGGAACGTGGACTCATTTGGAGGTAGAAAGTGTAGCCTTGAGGGTTGCTCAGAGAAAGGGCAAGGCTGTTGATCTCTCTGGTCTCCATGGAGATGCAAGTCTTGCTCTCTCAATCCTTTCCTCATTAAATCCCGACAAGGCACAAAGCCAAGGCAGATCATGCGATCCTGTATCTCACCCTTTCACTGGAGAAAAAAACAACCTTTACATTGCTAAACATTTACATACCCATGCAAATGTTTTCTAGAATGGAATAGTTCAA